TTCTATGATCATGGCAGTAGCTCTTGGATCCCACCCTTTTTACCTTTTACCCAATTTAGTAAATTCAGCTTTTTTTTAGGACAATATGCGAGGTGAGATTCGAACTCACGACCTTTCAGTCGAATATAAGTGTCTTAATATAAGGTCTAGATCTAGGATTCGGACTAGGATTACTGAATTTGGAACCTAATTGCCCCTGCATCTCCTGCGACCTTGCCGATTGTCCCTACAAACCAACACAAATCTTTTTAGCATGATATGTTCTCACTCACATGCTTCCTAGTAAATCAACTAGGAGGTCACCCGACTCAAGATTGCTCCAATCTAAGCATGCTTAACTTTTGAGCTCTTATGATTGAACTATCTAAAAATGAAGGTGCACTTTGTTAGTAAGGTAGTATTTATCAATTCTTTTAAGTCTTTCTTAATCATGCTTCCATGATCTCAGGATCTTTCCTATTCGAATGTGGTGGTATCAATTCATTCATGCGCCTCTCCTAGGAGAGGTTGTGCTTTATTGTAACACCCAAATCCAGGATGTGGACCAAGTTTCGAAATCCGGATTCCAAATCCTAGTCCTGGAGTGTTAAACTTAACAACTACGATCAGGTTGACTAGTAAATTCAACTTAGATATGTCAAGTCATCCCTCTTATAGTTCATGTATCGTCAAATTAGCATGCCCACGTGTTTAAATATGTTAACAAAACATCATAGACGGGTACGAAAATCAGATTCCACGCATACCTCCAACTTTTTCTCTTACACCACTCCAAACTCCATTGATACTCTTGGAGTGGTCAGAGTTCACCATCAACAGATTTAATGTTGATCACAAAAGCTTTGACTCATCAAACCAAAAGAGAGAGGCAAAATTCCGTACAGATTTTAGAATGACCAATAAATAAATTGGAAGTGAGAGATTAGTTTTAACTTTTAAATATGCTTGGCTGGAAAGACACTTCTCCAACTCCAAAGTGCTTCACCCACTAACCAAAAATCCCTTGAAATTTGCTAATAATATTCATAATTCAAGAGGGTCAAAAAAAGCCCTGTTCAAAATTTCTCCTTCATCTTTCATTTGCTTTATCACCCATTTTCTCTCTCCTAAGTGCCCAAAAAGGCTCATTGGAAATTTTAAATGATAATTTAAAAAAAAAAAAATCATTTTTATTGGAGTAGCTCTTTTTGGTTCTTATTGTCAATTATACATTTTTTTAATGCATGTTGAAAAGAGGATCAATATTTCATTTTGTTTGTATTATATTTCTTGTTCTTATTTAGGCCATCTTAGAGACAGCATATCTCTAAGAATATTTTGTAGCTAAGACCTTATGACCTAATTATTATATTCTTCAAACATAATATGTTTACACGGTTCGAAAAATGAAAATTAATCAAGTAACGAGTAGTATAATTATTTTTTCTTTGAATCTAGTATTAAAAACTATTTTAATCCTCGTCGTTGTTGGTGTTTTTTTGATAACTTATAACATTTTTAATAAAGTATGACATAAATTAATCCTCAAATTATGAAAGAACAAAATTAATGGCAAAATGCTAACCTGAACTTAGGGGAAAAAATTAGTGGCAAAATAGAGTGTTGGATTAAAAAAATATTAAAAATTTTAGGTTATCATGGGACTAAAATAGGATATAAACTTTGCTAAGATGCTCGCTCTTTCTCAATTTTTTAGACATCAAAATGATTGTTTTTACTCTATATGGCATGGTTGAATACACCCGTATTCAAATTTCTTGTTAATAGCTGGACCTTTTTTCAGCTAACTTTTCAATTTGAAAATTCGAGAAGGAACATATAACAGGCTTTTGAGATGGAGAGATATATTTTTCTTAATCTCTTATTCGCATTTGAAATTTGGATGAGATGATTTTCGCTCACATAAACCCAAAGTATTGTGTATATACCCTTTTAAAAATTTAAAGTTGATGTGTTATTTCGTAAATTACTCACAACTGATATAGTCAAACTTTAGATTTTTTTTAACCTCTGGTATCATTTCTATAATTTTTTAATATGATTTCGAATGTACTTTCTTTCTAATGGACTTGAAATACAAAAATAATTTTTTATTCATCCCCGTTATTTCGTTCCTAATCTGATTGAATGGACTTTTTGAGTAATTTTGATGGGTCAAAAGTGTATTTTATTTTTCAAATTTAATATGTTTAGTAGTAAATAAAAATCACTTTTGCAATAACCTAATTGATTTATAATTTTTTTTAAGACACATTAAAATTGATTTTTCAAAAAAGCGATGGATTTGGGAATCACTCCAATCACTTTTTGGTAATTTTATATTTCTAGGTATTTTAAATGAAATTAAAAAAAAATTTAAGTGGTTAAATGATAATCACGATGGAAATTAAATTTAACTAAGGTGATGGGTTTTAATGAAAAATATAGATTTGAGTTGAGAAGTTCGTGTCCACTCAACTACTAAGCCACTTAATAAATAAATAAATAAATAAATATCCAAACAAACATTCGAAACATCTTACGTGTGGAGATTATGACACCTAACCACAAGATTTCGTAATTTTTTTATTTCGATAGGCCAAAAAAA